TCGGTAGCTCAGCCTGTAATCCCGTGTCTTTGGGAGGCTGAGGTGAGTGGATTGCCTGAGCCTGCTGGTTCGAGACCCGCCTGGGCAACTTGGCGAGACCTCATCTCTACAATAAATCAAAAATCAGCTGGGCATGGTAGCACGTGCCTGTAGTTCCAGCTACTTGGAAGGCTGAGGCGGAAGGATCGCCGGAGCCCAGCAGGTCGAGGCTGCGGTGGCCAGGAGTGGCCACTGCACTCCAGTCTGGGTGACACAGTGAGACTCCAACTCAAAAAAAAAAAAGAAAATTTGTGATTCATGGGAGGTGGTCAAAATATCTACGTTAACAAGAATTTGAAGAAGTTGATTCCAACCCTACTGGATGATTTTGAGGGGTTCAAGACTTCAGTAGAGGAAGTCACTGTAGATGTAGTGGAAATAGCAAGAGAACTAGAAGTGAAGCCTAAAGATGTGACTGAATTACAGAAATTTCATGATAAAACTTTAATGGATGAGAAGTTGCTTCTTAAGGATGAGCAAAGAAAGTGGTCCCTTCCCTTCCCTTCCCTTCTGTTTTTCTTTCCTTCCTTCTAGGTTCTCATTCTGTCCATGCTGGAGTACAGTGGCACGATCACAACAATCATTGCTTACCGCAGCCTGGACCTCCTGGGCTCAGGTGATCTCTCCACTTTAGCATCCCAAGTTACTGGGACTACAGGCCTACCACACCCTGCTAATTGTTTGAATTTTAATTTTTATTTTTCATGTAGATAGGAGGTTTTGCTATGTTTTCCAGGCTGGTCACAAACGCCTGGGTTTAGATAGTCTGCCCTGCTTGGCCTCCCAAAGTGCTGGCATTATGGGTGTGAGCCATTGTGCCTAGCCAGAAAGTGGTTTCTTGATATGGAATCTACTCCTGGTGAGGATGCTATGAACATTATTGAAAAGACAACAAAGAATTTGGAATATTGTGTAAACTTAATTGATAAAGGAGCAACAGGGTTTGAAAGGATTGACTTCAATTTTGAAAGAAATTCTACTGTGGGTAAAATATTGACAAATACCATTGCATGCCATGGAGAAATCTTTCATGAAAATAGGAGTTGGTTGATGCAGCAGACTTTGTGTTGAAATAAGAAAGAAAGAAAAAAATTGCCACAGCTACCCAGCCTTCACAACCATCACTCTGATCAGTCAGCTGCCACTAACATCGAGACAAGGCCCTTTACCAGCAAAAAGATTATGACTTACTGAAGACTCAGATGATTGTTAGCATTATTTAAAGCAATACTGTATTTTTTTTTTTTTTGAGTTGGAGTTTCACTATGTCACCCAGACTGGAATGCAGTGGCCGTTCCCGGCCACCGCAACCTCAACCTGCTGGGCTCCAGTGATCCTTCCACCTCAGCTTTCCAAGTAGCTGGAACTACAGGTGCGCACTACCACACCCGGCTAATTTTTGATTTATTGTAGAGACGAGGTCTCCCCAAGTTGCCCAGGCGGTTCTCGAACCCACAGGCTCAGGTAATCCACTCACCTCGGCCTCCCAAGGCGCGGGATTACAGGCTGAGCCACCGAGCCCGGCCGCAATACTGTATTTTTAGATTAAGGTATGTTTGGAAGGCTAAAGTGGAAGGATCACCTGAGGCCCAACAGGTCGAGACTGTGGTGGCTGTGAGCATGCCACTATACTCCAGGCTGGTCGACAAAGTGAGACTCCTAAAAAATTAAAAAAAAAATTAAGACATGTACATTTTTTCTAGACAATGCTATTGCATACTTAATAGACTACAGTATAGTGTCAACGTAACTTTTATATGCTCTGGGAAACCAAAAAATTCATATGACTCGCTTTGTGTGACGTTTGCTTAATTGCTTGACCTGGAACCAAACCCACAATATCTTTGAGATATGCTTACAGTATGCATTTGGATTGAAGTGTCACTTCAAAGTCCATTCCTGGTCTATGCTGATGTCATTGCTCCTTATGAAGTAACTCATTATACTATGTCTTGATTATATTATGGGTCAATTTGCATTCTTATAGGTACATAGGTACACAAAATAACTCTCATAGCAAAGGAAAAATTATATAACTTCAGGTTGTTCTCATATCACAATATCTGTGGGATGATTGCATTCGCTAATGTTTGATTATGTGTGCTGTCTGTGTAAATGGTACCATACAGAATGAAGGATGAATCATGTTTATTCTTAAGAGTTTTTTGGCACTAGGTTGGCTTAGCGATTAAATGGCATATTTGCTACCAGAGTGAAAAATGAATAGCAGAGATTTTAAAATTTTTGATTTGTAATTCTCAGAATATTTTTATTTTTAGTGACTTTCAGGGAAAAAAATCATGATTTTTCTTAGTAGATGTATTATTTTGCAAGGACAGCTGTAACAAAGTACCAAAAACTGGTGCTGAAACCACAGGAATTTATTGTCTCACAATTCTGGAAGGTAGAAGTGTGAGATCAAGGTGTTGGTTCCTTCCAAAACCCAGGAGGGAGAATCTGTTCCATGCCCCTCTCCTAGCTTCTGGCAGTCTTTGGCATTTCTTGGCTTGTAGATACATCACCCTGATCTCTGCATTCATCTTCATGTGGTATCCTCCCTGTGTACATGCCTGTCTCTGTGTCTGCATTTCTATATTTATGTGGACACTAGTCGTTTAGGGCCCACCCTAATGACTTCATCTTAACTTGGTTATTTCCAAAGACTCTATTTCCAAATTCACATTCACTGGAACTGGAGGTTAAGACTTCAACATGTTTTGGAAGAGAAACAATGCCCAGAATAATAGGTAATTTTAACTGGGTGTGGTGGCCCACACCTGTAATTTCAGCACTTTGGAAGGCCAAGGTGGAAGGATTGCTTGAGCCCAGGATTTTGAGATTAGCCTAGTCAACATAGTGAGACCTCATCTCTACAAAAAATAAAAAAAATACTAGCTGGGTGGGGTGGTGCACACCCATAGTCCTAGCTACCTGGGAGGCTGAGGTGGGAGGATTACTTGAGGATTACGGGAGTTCAAGGGTGTGGTGAGTCATGATTGTGCCACTGTACTCCAGCCTGGGCAACAGAGTGAGACCTAGACTCAAAAGAACAAAACAAAAAAATTTTTTTTCTGTGATAGTGGGTTTGAAAACTCTTGGGTAGTGGATATACTTAAGTTGGCAGTTTATCAAAACATTGGCCTAATTACATGTGCATATGTCCATAAATGGGTCACATATGAACATTTGTTTTGGAATAGGACTGTCTTGCACGAGTCTATTTGTATAAAAAATTGTAGGGAGAAACCAATCTAAGTATCCACCAACGATTGACTGGATAAAGCACATGTGGTATACGTTCACTAAGGAACACTGCACAGCCATAAAAAGAATGAAATATTCTTTGCAGCAACATGGATGAAGCTGGAGATCAGCATCCTACGTGAACTGACTTTGAAACAAATTCAAACACCTCATGTTCTCATTTGTATGCAGGAGTTAAATGACCACAAAGATGGAAATAATAGACACTGGGGATGCCAATAAGTGGGGAGGCAGGGAGGATTAGGGTTCAGAAATTACCTATTGGGTACAGAGTTCACATTCTAGGGAATGGACCATCTAAGACCCAATCCCCACCACTACATAATATGCCCATGTAACAAATGTGCATGTATACCCCTGAATCTAAAATAAAAATGAAAAAAAAATTTGTTTGAAGAGCAAGCTGGAGAACTATATAGGGTGATTTTCAATAAATTAAATATGATTAGATGTAAAAATGTATGGAACAAGTCAGGCATGTATGAGGTCAGTGTAGCTAGTGATATGATGGATTTGGAATTTAGATAGGCATTGGGGCAAGAGGATGTTGCATGCAGAAGCAGAAAGAAGGGGGGCGGGGGAGGTGGCTAAAGCCCTGATGCAGGGATAAGTATTTTACATGTAGTGGGTTGTAGTGATGAGGGAGACTTTGGAGTCAATTATGTTGTCAAGGAGTCCTAGATCAGGCCCTTTAGGGCTAATGTAAATTTTAGCTATTAAGCTTCAAGAAATTGCTGTAGAATTTATTTTTAATTTGGACTATAACATTACCAAGAAAAAAATGCATGACCTGTAAACCCCCCCGCCGCACCACTCAGCTAGTCCTTATTAACATTTTGGCATCTTGATATAATTCTTGTCAAATTCCTGCCATGCTTTTACAATTGACATCATATTCCAAAAACAGTTTTCTAAAATAGAGTCTGTAGTTTTCTCTAACTATATATTTCTGGATTTGAGACCCATTAGGTAACAGACCTATTGGTCATTACTGACGAGTTCGGTCTCCATAACTTCATAAGCCAGCTGACTTTGTCCTGTGGGATTTAGTTGCTCCCACCTTCATGCTGCTGCCAAGATCTTTTTAATGACCGCTTCACTTTCCTTTCTCAGGTCCTTTAGCAGGATAGTGGTCCAACTTTTGAGCATATGAGATACCTCTGTTATTTTTCTTATGCCTTTTTCTTCTCATCTGTTGCTTTCCCTGAAGTTATTTGAGGTTCTTAGAATGTCGCGTACTCTTTATCACCTCTGTAATTTTTACTCTTACCTCCTCTGAGAATGCCTTTCTCTGATAGTCTCTTTGTCCGGTGGCTACTCATCTCCATGACATTTCTCCTCTGTGAAGTCTTTATTTTAAGCCAGGTTTTCCTTCCTTTTAATATCTGTAGTACCTTCTCTAAAACTTGCTGTAGAATTGACTACAGGGCATTACAGTGGGCAGTTTTCATCTTTACCTTTATTTCTAGACTGAGTTATTTAAGTGCTCTGCCAAGCATTGCAGAAACTTGAAACCAAAATAAAGAGGAACTTTAGAAATCTGCAGCCTAGTGAAGGACTCCCAATATTGGTGAATTGATGGGGGATGGTGGTAAGGAATATGACGAAGAATATGCTTGAATGGCCCATTAAAACAGAATTGTGACTAGAATTGTTGGTATACTGTCTTTAAATTAACCAAGTTTATTTGTTTACAGGTTATGGTGGACCTGCATTACAGGTTGCAGCAGATGTTCTCAATATTTCTATTGGAATTTTCTTATTTCTACCTGCAAGGGGAGCCCCAGAGCCTCATCCCTGTGGTAGCTTCCATGACCTGGTAAGTGATGCTGTACCTTTCCACATTATCCTTCCTATCCAAGCAAAGGATCTGGGTTAGAGCTTAGCCATTTGTTTTTGTAAACAACTGTGGAGAACTGGAAGAGGAATCCATATTGTGATATCTTTGAGATTATGTAGTATGTCTTGTTTATTTTTCTGCTTATCTACATAACTCCCAAATAGTGCCTTGCATATCACAGGCACTTAGCATTGTGATTTTGTTTGACTTATATCTAGTTTTAATAGCTTACTGTTGATTTTTAACAGTTGTCAATCTATTTTCTTATTCATTAAATAATACAGAAGCATATGATATTAACTTTTTCTTATAAACAATGTTTTCCAGTAATATTTAGTCCCGTAATATTTAGAATTCCAGTGTATTCTCAACTCTTATGAAGGAGTCAGTAGAACAATTTTATTATAAAATCTCTGTATTAATAAGAATGAACACTGTAGCTAGTAACTAAAGTATTTTTTCTTAATAAAAAGTGGGAGTATTTTTCAGAATTCTGGAAAATGTCAGAGTAATTTTGGCTGTAGTCATACTGCATTTAATGCTATTGAGAATATTGCTAACATTAACAAAAATATTCTGTAATTTCCTCAGTTATTGCTACTGGTGATGAGGGATGTGAAGCTGGCATGCTCTCGTGTTTTGAACATTATCATTATGCACGTCTGATTTTCCATGTCAGAAACAATCTTGGTTTTAGTTAAGACATCTGAGAACACTTTTGGTTAGGGATAGAGGGCAGGCTCTGATTATTTGTATATTTATGTCAGTAATACATAGAATGGTGTGAATGTATCAGAGTAAATACATGTATAGTTTTAAGGTAATTACTTATACAGTATTTATAGATGTCTGTGACTGTTTTTAGTTCATCCAGAATATAATGGTCTGAGATCAAATACATAGGTTTCATTTCTAGATTGCTCATTTTATTTTGTATTTTTCTGTGTCCACTGGTAACACTCATCTTACAGATATAAGTTATTGTTCACTAGGTAGCTTTGGCTAGAAAATTGACTAGATCAGCGAGCCCATCTTCACTATGGGAAAACAACGTGAAGTTCATCTCTGTAGATGGTGAGTGTCATCTTCATACAAGAAAGATCATGCATTCTTTTATGTTTTCAGTGTTATCAAACAACATGTTTTATGAGACATTATTGGGACGTCGAACATGATGTTTCATTACTTGAGCCTAAGAGATAACACAGAAATCTACCTAACAGTGAAAAAGAATGGAAGTAATAATTTGTTGTTTATGAATATGCTTAAAAGGAATTTGGTTAGCTTCTTTCTCCTGCTCCATTCTCATTTCCATATTACATGCTAGCTAACTTATAATTCCCTACTATTTGAATGCACATTGACTAGAAAATAATCACATACTGATCACATACTTATTTTAAAATACATTACTAATATCAGGAAATACATGCTAGCTAACTTAAAATTCCCTACTCTTATTTGAATGCACATTGACTAGAAAAGAATCACATACTGATTTTAAAATACATTATTTTAAAATACTGATTTTAAAATACATTACTAATATCAGGAAATTTCTGGATAACTGCAGTGTCAATGAAAATTTGCTTCCATTTTCAAATAGATTATTTGGTTTGCTGTTCCAGAGATACAGTAGATGACTTCTAAATGTTTAATAATATTAAAAGAGTCAATAGTGTATCTGCATAAGCAGTTGGCAGTTCAGGCCAATATCATTTAGTGAATATTTAATAATCATAACTTTATTTTATAGTACTAATTACATTTGTGATTTGACCCAATCTTACCTCACCATGGAGAATGTATACATATGAGTATTTATATGTATGTGAGTATATGTGAGTAACTCGATACAGTTACTTATGCTGTTATGGTCATCTTTATTCTGATTAATATCCATTGTAAGATTGTCAAAGTAAATTTCTTTTTACATTCTTGCTTTGCTAGTGTCCTGCCCCCATCTTTTTTGGGGGGGGTAATTGCTATTATATTTTAAGTTTTCTTCTTCTGCTATGTAAACAGACCCCAAAGTCAAAGGTTGGTAGGACTGATGCACACTGACTTGTGAGGGAGAGGAGCCTTCTACTACAAGTACATGACATTACATAATTATAACTGTCCTAATCATCGATACGAAATGTTTTTGAAAGAGGCCATGAAGTAAAAAAATAATAGCATGGAGGGAAGATTTGAAAATATTTCTATTTAAATAAAATGTTTATTGTACAATTTTCCTTTCCTGAAAAAGACCTTTAGTATTTCTATAGTAAGACAGGACTGTCCTTTCCCACAATCTAAGGGTAATTGTTAAGTATAACTCAGTGTATTTTCCAAAATCATGTTTCTTAAAAACATTATTTCGATTATTTGTCTCCGTATTATTATTGTTTTCACATTGAGTCTACCCCAAACATTTTTAGTGGGAGTAGACTTTGGAGATTTCTTTAATATTATAATGCAAGCAAGTCAGAAAATTATTTAATGTATAAATTTGAGTTTCTAATAACTCTAATAATTCTATTGTAGTTATAATAAAATGCTACTTATTGAATGGTATTTGCTCAGCTTTATGCTAAGTGCTTTGAATATCTCATACTTCGCAACGTCATGGTATGGGAATAATTATCTCTGGTATTATAGATAAGAAAACTAAGACTCCAAGATTTTATTTTAAAAAGGGGAGGGCCAGCTAGGAGCCCAAATGTCACCTGCATGCAGCCTATTTTTATGTCAAATCCTCACTTGTACCTCACAACTACAAAATAAAAAATAAAAATGAATAAATAAATAAGGCCAGTGACTGACCCAGGATTTAAACTCTGGACGATTGACCTCAGGGCTTCTGCTGAAATCTTCTGTTTGTAAGTGCAGTGTTAAGCCACATGAAGCTTTTGTGTGTGCAAACACAGATGGGCTGCTTCACTCTTGGAGCATTGTCTACCTAGTTAAAAATGGTTTTATACAGCCGGGCTTGGTGGCTCAGCCTGTAATCCCGCGCCTTTGGGAGGCTGAGGTGAATGGATTGCCTGAGCCCGCGGGTTCGAGACCCGCCTGGGCAGCGAGACCTCATCTCTACAATAAATCAAAAAATCAGCCGGGCGTGGTAGCGCATGCCTGTAATTCCGGCTACTTGGAAGGCTGAGGCGGAAGGATCGCCAGAGCCCAGCAGGTCGAGGCTGCGGTGGCCGGAAGCGGCCACTGCACTCCAGTCTGGGTGACAGAGTGAGACTTTCACTCAAAAAAAAAAAAAAGGAAAAGAAAAGTAAAGAAAAAGTAAAAATGGTTTTATACTACAAAATTTTTGATTGAGGAATGTCAAGATGTTTCTGGACAAAACATTTGTTTTTGTGACTTTAAGTGGACATAACTTGATAGCTCATAAGTATGTTCAGTATACTTATTGTTGTATATGTCTACATATGCATGTATCACATGTATGATTCTTTAAATAGAATCTTGGCAGCACTTCCTTGGAAATATTGGGTTGTGTGTTTTGAGGATCCAGCCCACTCTTGAGGTGATAGAATTGCTGTTTAATTCATAAGTTTGGTAGAAGCTAATACCTTGATTCTAAGAGACCATTTATATATAAATATAAAAAATGGGTAGGCTAAAATGGTGGTGTTAGTTTTTTGACAAATACCTACTGAAATGTGAAATGTTAGCTTGAGCCGGGCTCGGTGGCTCAGCTTGTAATCTCAGTGCTTTGGGAGGCCGAGGTGAGTGGATTGCCTAAGCCCGCGGGTTCGGGACCCACCTGGACAACTTGGCGAGACCTCATCTCTACAATAAATCAAAAAATTAGCCAGGTGTGGTAGCACGCACCTGTAGTTCCAGCTACTTGGAAGTCTGAGGCAGAAGGATTGCCAGAGCCTAGTAGGTCGAGGCTGCGGTGACTGGGAGCATGCCACTGCACTCCAGTCTGGGTCTGACAGAGTGACTACAACTCAAAAAAAAAAAAAAAAAGAGAAATGTTAGCTTGATATTTGTTGAGAACCAAACGCATAAATTGTTAAGATATTGTGGAGAACTATAACCCTGTGATTTTTATACATAAACATTTTTAATAGTCTTTATTATTTAAATTTATAAAATATAGTTTTTTTTAGTATACATACAAGGTTTTCTGTTATTGGGTCATTGAATATGGCTTCAGGCTTACTTCTGGCAGCTTTTTCCCTTACCACCTGACATCATATGCTCCTTACATGATAAGCTCCAGGTAAACTGAATAGCTTGCAGTTACCCTATATGATAAGCTATTTTGCACTTTTGTTTTCATTCATATTTTTCTTCTTACCATTATGGTCTTTCCTCTTTGCTCCCCTGATTAGTACCAACTTTTATTCAAGATTCAGCTTTGTTAACACTTTGAAGTCTTTCTTGCCTACTGACCTCTGTCACTGAGCCATTCCAGGACATAAGTCTATCCTGTATTTCATTGCTCTGATTTATTTATATCTCCTTGTTACTAGACTATAGATTTCTTAAGGGCAAGTGCAAAGGCTATATGTCTAATTCATTTTTATAGTCACAGTTTTTAGCACAATACTTGGCACAGAGTAGGTGTCTAGTGAGCATTTGTTGACTGAATGTATGGTCTCAATAAGAAAGAAAAGTTGATCCTGGCAGTTGGTGGATAATGGTGATGAAGTGAATTCAAGGTGGAATGCTACTACACTTTCAGGAAATAGTTGGTGGGGAAAACTAGTTTCTTGGAGTCAGTGTGTAATACGTGTCTAGAATTTTGTTATCCCCAATCAAACATTTGTTACTGGAAATTTACCCAAAGCATTTGATAGCCGAATTTTTAATAAATATTAGATATTAATAATGAGTATAATAGATCTTAAGAACTCTAGTACTTCAGTAAGGAGATCCATATGTGTTCTTGTGTTATAATCAGTTTAAAGTTGGAAAAGGACCCTTCTGGTCAAAAGTTATGAAAGGTAAATCAAGGGAGGAGTCCATTTGTTATCATATTTAAAGCTCCATTTATTTTAAAACTGTGTAATTCTTATGTCATGCAGTCCTGATTAAAATGCTTATAATGGCCAGTATTATTGATGACAAATTCTTACACGGTTCAGTAGTTTACATTTTGAAAAACACTCATTTATAATATTACCCTTTAGTAATATGCCAGGATTTAAGTTGATTTTACATTCTGTCTATTTATAATTTAGTAAGATTATGTTAATTAGAGGTTAAATGTTGTTTTGGACTATCAGATTATATTATAGTTTTATCTGAGGAAAAACTATACAATGAACATATTAACTAAATTGATATTAACTAGATAACTGATATTAACTAGATTCTGTTAAAAGATTTTATTTGCTTCAGAATACATAAAAACAACATAAGAATATATACTGAATTAGAGTGAGCTATACTGAAATAGCATATTTGCTAAATAATTTAAATAAAGTGGGAAGAAGCTTGAAGGAATTGAAAGGAATCAAATTTTTCCATGTTCAAGTTATAAACACTAAGACCTTTAATTTTGTAGTAAGACATGACATACTCTGGTTATTCAACTTCTATATCCTTTAGCCTATTTAGTAGTCAAAAACTTCTAAGTAAATATGTGTGATTTAATTTGTGTTGCTGAGAAACAGTGATCAAAAATAGCAAGAAACGTCACATAATAAAATAAGAATATTTTAAAAATCCAAGAATTTTACTGTGACCCATTATTCATTCAATTTCTGGCAGCCTTCATGATTACAAATCACTTGATTGACTAACTAGATATTCTCAAAGTGAATTATGAATCAGATACGTTTTTCCTGGTTGATAGTTGACATATACTGTAACTCTTTCACTTTGTGATATATTAAACTTTTGTAACAGTAATAAGAGATATAATCAGCTCTTTATTTCAAGAAAACTAAATTGCTTTTTAAAAAACTGAAACGCTGTGGCTAGCATTTTAATAATACGATGTAATGCCTGCTTTTGGATTCCAGAGTGAAATCCACAGTGATGAGGTATTGTTCAGATTTACAAAAATCTTTAGAATGGTTTTCAACAGGCATAAGCTCCTGTTGATATCAGTTATAGGCTGCTTGGGCAGTTGTCTGAGCCTAGGTTGCAAAATAATTACATTTTCTTTCCTTATTACTTAAAAAATACCTGATGAGGACTTGTGCATTTAAGAAGGAAATATAGTTTTCCCTAATTACCTAATTTGTAATGAGGTTATGATGTTAAAAACATAAAAACGTAGATCTTCTTTATTTTATTTTATTTATTTATTTGTTTTGAGTTGGAGTCTCACTCTGTTGCCCAGGCTGGAGTGCAGTGGCACACTCCCGGCAACCGCAGCCTCAACCTGCTGGGCTCAGGCAATCCTTCCACCTCAGCCTTCCAAGTGGCTGGAACTACAGGCATGTGCTACCATGCATGGCTAATGTTTTGATTTATTGTGGAGATGAGGTCTCACCATGTTGCCCAGGCTGGTCTCGAACCCGTGGGCTCAGGCAATCCTCTTGCCTTGGCCTCCCAAAGTGCTAGAATTATAGGCTTGAGCCACTGCTCCTGGCCAAAAATGTGGAGCTTCTAATGGTTATTAAGAGAGAAGGGCTCTTTCTGAGTAGGGAGAAGGGCCCATAGTGACTTGGATCTTGAATGTTTCCATTCAAGGGGGTCAATTTTGCTTTCAAATGTGTTCTATTCTCTTTTGACTTAATGAGACTTCTCCATGCAGAACTATACTGGCAACTGAGTGACAGAAAATTCCTTTAGTACAACTGTATTTTCTTTAATCTCATCTACCTAAGTAATTGAAAATAAAATAGTTGTTCTTGAATGTGATTGATATATTAAAATTTTGAGAATCCTGCACAAAAGTCAGTCATTGCTAGTAAAATTGAGGTTCCTTTATTGAAAATTTTTATGTGTGGAAATGTCAGGCCTAAACTGTATACATGTCATTCTGAGATCCTCTTACAAATTAAAAAATGCATATGAGATAGTAAATCTGTATTTCTTAGGAAGTAAAATCATCAAAGTTAATGGAAGCTTTGAGTGGATAAGGACCACAGACTAGTACTGCCATACATTCCCCTCCATTTGAAAGCAGAGTAGTTAGTATCTCAGAATTCAGTGCATTCCTTTTACTTTCTTTGTTTTCCTTTATGAATAAGATTTAATCATATTAGAACTGAAAATTGTTTTATTGCATTTCATTGTCTCAAAAAATAGGTTCTATAAAAATCCTTCTGAGTATTATTCTACAGTGTTAGTTACTATGAACATATATACATTAGTAAGGTAAAGTTGCATGTAATTGTACAAACATGATGATATGCTTTTTAATCTTGATATTTTGTTATCCTTAAAATTGTCTAAAGTTGGATTTATGCTTTAGCCTCCTTAAAATTTAATTTTTAATCCCCTAATACCATTAATTTTGTGCTTAGTAGTTAAAATTGCTATTAAACATCTTTTATGGGATTAAAGTTTTATTCATAATTAGGTAATTAATTATAAATATAATTATTCAATTCATTTAAAAATCCTCCAAAGATGTTTTTGGCAATATAAACCAAAGATTTTTGTTTTTTTGAGTTGTAGTCTCACTCTGTCGCCCAGACTGGAGGGCAGTGGCACCCTCCCAGCCACTGCAGCCTCAACTTGCTGGGCTCCGGCAATCCTTCCGTCTCAGTCTTCCAAGTTGCCAGAACTACAGACACTACCATGCCCAGCTAATTTTTTTTGATTTATTGTAGAGACGAGTTCTTGCCAAGTTGCCCGGGTGGGTCGCAAACCCGCGGGCTCAGGCAATCCACTCGCCTTGCCTTCTAAAGTGCTGGGATTATAAGCTGAACCACTGAGCCCGGCCAACCAAAGATGTTTTTTAGCAATATAAACCACTCTGATAGAATTGAAATTAAGGCTCTAGAAATTGAAAGACAAAGAAATGGAAAGACATCAATTAATTATAGAAAAAACTTTAAATCTTTGATTACTTTGATAGGTCTTGTGAGATGACCATGAACTAAACTACAGCCATCGAATACTACTGTTTTCAATCTGACTTGGTGTTGTTTACCTCTTGGCACAGTTGTACCTTTGGAGTCCAGAAGCATTGTTATACTTTTTCAGGCATATTGAGGTAAGCAGTCTATGGTAAAGTGGACTTTTGTTGCTGTGATATGACCATAAGACTTGGAAAAAAAGAAGACTAGGGCAAAGGAGGAGACAAAAAGTAATTTTTTTCTAGGCCACAGAAATTGACGGAATTATTTTTATCACGCTTATGTAGATTAAATAGATTGCTAAATTGTCTCCATTTTGTGATGTGCAACTTAATTAATGCTTAGTGGCTGCCATTGAACTACTTAGTATTAGGATAGTCATTGAGAGAGGGAATGAGTGTCTGGAGATTATGGGAAAACTGAAGGAAAATATTTAAGAAGGAATTTTTGGTTTTTGCTTTTTTAAGCAAGTGTGTTAAGGGGTCAGGATGTCCAGTATAAGTAAAATCTGCCAAAGACTCGTGTTGCACAATTTATACTTTAACCCTTGACACTTGCTCTCTCTCTTTTTCCCACTGCATGTGCAGGACAATACAATTTGCATTTTTGTAGCATGTCCAAGTGTCTCATATTACATAAACATATATTGTATTTCTCAATATCAGCATTACGTTGGTATTCCTAATCTAGTTTTGTATGTTAAGCCTTACCTTTTCCATTATGATGATATAAATTTGGTTTAAAATAATATCTGGTATACTAATATTTATGGTCCTTTGAATATTTCTGGTTAAATTCTTCCTTGGTCTGTGTTGGATTACTTCTTTATTTCTCTTGTTTAGGTACATGGTAAAGTTTGGAACTACAGATTATTAGATATGGAGTATACAATTATGATATCTTTTTATTACATGAGCAGTAATATGGCATAAATGCATTCTGTATGATCTTAGGCCTCTTTGCTATTGATATAGATAATATTTAAATAATTTTAAAATAATTCTCCTTTTAATTGGATTCAATGATATTTGGTTTTGATTCTGAGAGCTCCATATATTATTATGCAAAGAGATTCAGGGGACACGGTTGTTAACAATGATAGATGCTGGTTAGAATCAGTAATTTGAGATTGATATTAAGGAAGAACATAAATAAGTCATTTTGTTTTAGTTGAAACTAAAGGTCTGCAGGAAAATACAATAGCATTTAGTGCATTCTACTTTAGATGTCTACTTAGTACTTTAAAGCCTCAAATAATATGCATTTTGTTGGTGTATCAGTCAGTGCTCTGCAGAGAAACAGAACCAATAAAATACATATATATGCATATACATATGCATATGCATATACATACACACATTCACGCACACACATATATGATTTATTTTAAGAAATTGGCTCACACAATTGTGGGGACTGGCAAGTCTGAAATCTGTAGGGCAGGCTGGCAGACTGGAAACTCAGGCAGCAGGTGATGCTGCAGTCATGAGAGAGAACTTCTTCTTGTCCAGGACCCTCAGTTTTTGCTCTTAAGGCCTTCAGCTCATGGGATGAGGCCCACCCACATTATTGAAATTAATCTCTTTTACTTACAATCAACTGATTGTAGATGCTAACAACACCTACAGAATACCTTCACAGCAACATTGAGATTAGTGTTTGATTATATAACTGGGTACTATAGCATAGCCAAATTAATGCAGAAAATTAACCATCATGGTTGGTCATCTTACCTCCCCCGATATTTATGTCACAAGTCACAGAATTGTCTGGGTCAAATTCTCAAAATATCATCAAAGAACAAGCTAGACAACTTCTTTGAAATGAAAGCTATCAGTTCCAGAGATAATAGCTGGCATCCATTTATTCATTAAAACATATTTATTGATTCTCTGTATGTACCAGTACTGGAAAAGAAAAGCATGCAGACCATATATGGATCCAGTTCTCATGTAGTTTACCGATTAGTGTTGATGCTTAGGAAGGAGGCAAAAGGTGGTTAATAACCCAAAGAAAAGACTGTTTTTCTCTGACTTGCTTCTTGTAAATTTTTATTACATACATTTGTTGCTAATCTGTGTATAAAATTGTCAACTTTCTCTTTAAATAATTTGCATTTCTTTGATATTTCTCTTTAGAGATTTCTGAGAACAGTTTTTCTTTTTTTCCTGTGCCCAGGCTGGAGTGCAGTGGCATGATCAGGATGATCCTCTGGTCTTAGCCTCTGAAGTAGCTGGGACTACAGATGCATGCCAGCACACTCAGATTTTTTTTTTTTTTTTAAATAAAAACAGGGTATCACCATGTTGCCCAGGCTAGTCTAGAACTTCTGGGTTTAAGTGCTCCTTCCTGCTTTGGGCTTCCAAAGTGTTGGATTGCAGGTATGACCCATTGTGAACAGCCAAAAAATTTTTATATTTGAGTTCATTGAGTTTTTTTTTTTTTTTTTTCTGAGTTGGAGTCTCATTCTGTTGCCCAGACTGGAGTGTAGTGGCCGCTCCTGGCCACCGCAGCCTCGACCTGCTGGGCTCCAGCGATCCTTCCACTTCAGCCTTCCAAGTAGCTGGAACTACAGGAGAGCGCTACCATGCCCGGCTAATCACTGAGTTCTTAAAGCGGCAGGCATCTCTCTATAAGTAGAAACTTCTCTCTTCCTATGTCAGTTTACATTGCCCCTATGTTTATTGATCAGTCCAAGTGCCATAGTAAAATAAAAATTTTTTAAAAATTAAGAACATATTATATGCTAGATACTTTATAAACCATTCCTCTAATTCCTATAATCATAATTTCCTTTCGAAGATAAGGAAACTGAGGTTCTGAGAGGTAACTTGTCTATGGTTAATATACCACTAAGCGATGGTGCAGGAATTCAAACTTAAACTATCTGAATCTGTCACCCGTTGCTTTTTCCGCTCAACTTGTCTTCAGTAAATCTTCTTAGCTGGGCTACTGGGTCTCTTGGGACAGCTCCTTGTTGATTCCCAAATTTCTGTTGTTGAAATTTCCTATGCCCTCCATTTCATTCTCCCCACTTAATTTACAAAATAATGCTCACACTTAAGTAGGTAGAAGGAAATGTTTAACAACTCAGGTTAAGGCAAAATTAATGAGATTAACAACAAAAGGAAAGGAGGTTAAGTAGGTGCTAGGAAAGAGTGCTGCAGTATATCCAGGCTTGGGCCAAAATAAATGACTGAAGTTTAAAGAATTGAGTAGGGGTAAAAGTGTGAGAGATGGAGGAGAAAAGCAATTTGCGTAAGAGACAAAAGTGTGGATTTATGCCCACCCACTGACTTTTATTCTTTTATAGAGCTATAGCATATAGTAAAATGAATCTGGCCTCAGTGATAGCGGATGTTTCTATTTTGTGACTGTTCCAAAACATTAAGTCATTTTCTGGTACCGAAACACTAATAGCTGAAAACAGTTACAGAAATACTTACTGCTCATCAAATAACCATGTACTTCTCCACATTTTCTAGCCACTTTGTAGCTAGTGACTAGGTGGGGAGTCATGTTAATTCTTGTGAATGGGATGTAAAATATGTATCACTTCCTGGTGGAAGCATTTGAGAGCCAGTACATGACCCTCCAGTTTCTCTCTCCCGCCTATGGCAGAGACTAAGGAAGCCGCTTGTACTAGATGGTGCAGCCACAAAATGGCAGAACCTTTGTTAGTCTTGGTTCTTGAGTGACTATGAATTGGCGACCCTCACTCATGAATTTTGCACTTGCAGCATAAGGGAGAAATCAGCTTTTGTTGTCTTAAACCCCGGAGATTATGGGATGTTTGTTATTAAATCGTGTAACCTTTCTTAACTCTACAGGGACTTTCCTTCCTACCCCTGAACTCTCTTCACATTGCTCCCACTAAGGCTTTGCTGTTCAATCTCTCTCCACATGACACTTTTTCCTATCAAAAGGCCCCAATAGTTGTATATTCTTCACAGTTATTCTTCTAATTTCTAATATTGATGTTATTAGATTAGACACACCCAAAGAATAACTCATTTTTTACAAGGCTGTTACTAAAAATTACTCTGATTTTATATTTAAGATTAGGATTTCATATAATTTATTGAGATTATTTTGAAATTCTCTAAAGTATGATGTCTGGGGTCTCTAAAAGAACAGCCTGCAATGTAAAGCCATCCATTTTGAGATATTTTTTTCTTCTCCAAGGTTAACTTATATAATGCCACAGCCTATATAATTATACATTTTCTAACATATTAGGATTCATGTTACGTTTCATGATAACTTAGGGTTAATAAAAATTTGTCTTCTAATTAATATGTAAGTTTTGACAAATGATTGTTTTAGTCCTTTTCACTTTTTGCATTAACTGCCTATAAGCTCATAGTTAAAATTGTTTCGCATTTTTAGTAATTTCCTGATTTGTGTTCCTCATATGTTATATGTTTGTTAATTTAATTACTGAGTTCTCACTTATCTTTAGTCTTAAATTGACTTGCATAAGAATATTTTAAATTCTAAGTCAGTATAGTCTTTTAAAGAAGGAAAGTATGAGTGATAGGCAGAAGTGAATGCAAAATATTAATTATTATTTTTTAGTCTGTTTGCTTTGTTCAGTGACGTATCCAAGCATCTAAAACAGGGAATAACACGTAGTAGATGTTAGTGGATGAATGGATTGAATCAATATACCTTCTCTCAGGCATCTAGTTGATTCTAGGAAGAATTTAAGCTTAGTTACTGATGTGGTTGACTTTACCATTTTATCTTTTACCATGTATTTGACATGTTTTTTCTGTTTTGCTTTCCCTCTCCCTTCTTGCTTTCTTTTGGATTGATGTGATGATTAATTTTATGTTTCAACCTAAGTGAACCATGAGGTGCCTAGATATTTGGCCAAACATTATTCTGGGTGTGTCTGAGAGGATGCTTTTGGATGAGATTAACATTTGAATTGGTAGATTTAGCAAAGCAGATTGCCCAGCCTAATGTGGGTGGGCCTCATCTAATTAGTTGAAGGCCGGCACAGAATAAAAGGCTGAATAATATAGAATTTCTTCTGCCTGACTGCCTTTGAGCTGGGACATCATTTTTTTTTTTCAGGCCGTTTGACTCAAACTGAAATATCAGCTCTGGCTGGGTCTAGAGTCT